ACTCGGCGTAGAGCATTTTAACCAGTACCTAAAATATTTACAATAACGATTTTTTTCCAAAGTTACTCAATTTTCTCTTTCTGTAATTCAACAGAGTGAATTAGTTTTGTTTTGTTTGAATAATGAAAAAAAAGATTTTTTTCACACAGAAAAGTTCAAAATCTCGAAAACTACACGTCCTAGAGCATTTTAATCAGTTCAAAAAATTAAATCTTGACGCTTGTTTAAATTTAAAAAAAAGTTATTTACAATAATGAATTTTTTGTACAAAAATCATTCAATTTGTCATCCTTCTGTTTCGGTATCAACAGACTGACAATTGCATTGTTAAAATTACATAATTAGTATTTTTTTTTCAATTTGAATACCGAAAAAATAAGACATTTGTTTTAGTACTCTAAAAATTCATCAGAAAACGCCCAAAATTTGGTAAAATATTGAAAACTACACATTGTGGAGCATTTTAACCGGTTCAAAAAAAGTTCGTGGAGCATTTTAACCGATTAAAAACATTTTAAACGCTTGTCTGAATTGAAAAGAAAAACATTTTCTCATTCCCCCTGTGACGTAATTCAAATTATTTTCTCTTTGAACACTGAGAAAAGAAGTTTTTAGTATTCTAAAAATTCATTACAAAATATTCAAAATGTGTTAAAATCTCGAAAACTACACGTAGAGCATTTAAACCGACTCCAAAAAAACACGACAGAGCATTTTAACCGGTTCCCAAAAAAACACATCATAGAGCATTTTAACCGGTTCCAAAAACAAAGCGTATTTTGAACTTGTTTTAATTAAAAAAAGAACATTTTTTATTTACAATAACGATTTTTTATAAATGTCACCCTCCTGTAACATTTCAATTTTTTGTTTGTTTGAACACTGAAACAAGAACAAGTTTTTAGTACTCTCTAAAAATTAATCGCAAAACATTCAATATGTGTCAAAACTACTCGTCGTAGAGCATTTTAACCCGTTCCAAAAACTTGTGAAGCATTTTAACATGTTCCAAAAATAAAAATCTTTAAAAAACAGGGTAGTTTCCATAAAAATCGGATGTTTTAATAGAAAAAAAAAAATTATAAAATAATATACAGGGTGTTTGTGGATTGCGATTAGTTGTTAAAATATTTGCTCGCAATCCTCAAACACCCTGTGTAATAATAGATCAAATAATAATTAACAGATAAAATTGACTTAAAAATAGATCATTTTCCCATTTTTTTGTGTTTTTAAAAACTCTCATCGGGCTGTTTTCAGAGTACTCAAAATTCAACGACTAAAATGACTAAATCAAGTCATTTTCTTAAAAAAATGATGTTTTTAGGAAAATCTGAGTTAGAAAAATGAGGTTAAAAATCAGTGTCAAAAGTCAAATTCAACGTTGTTTTTGAGATGTTTTAGTTAAAATATGGGTTTTGTTAAATAATGGATAGAAAATAGGAAAATGACTAAAAAAACTAGGCATACAAATCTGAGTTAAAAAGTTACACATATTAAACTACTAAAAAATTGTTTTTTATTTTGGAACGAGTTAAAATGCTCTACTACGAGTAGTTTTCGAGATTTTGACACATGTTGAATGTTTTGTAATGAACTTTTAGAGTACTAAAAACTTCATTTCTCAATGTTCAAACAAAAAAATTAAATGTGTCACACAGGGGGGAAATTGAGTAACTTTTGTAAAAAATTCGTTATATGTAGTAAATACATAAAAAAAAAATTTTTTGAATTCAGACAAGCATTCAAAATGTTTTTTTTAAACCTGTTAAAATGCTCTACGACGAGTAGTTTTCGACATTTTGGACGTTTTGTGATGAATTTTTGAGAGTACTGAAAGATTTTTTTTTCATTGTTCAAACAGAAAAAAAAACAGTAATTCAGTTTGTTGAATTACAGAAAGGAAATTAAAAATGAGTAAATTGAGTGACTTTTGTAAAAAAAATCGTCACTGTAAGTAAAAATTTATTCTTTATTTTTAATTAAAACAAGTGTCCAAAATACGTTTTTTTGGAACCGGTTAAAAGGCTTTGTCATGTTTTTTTGGAATCGGTTTAAATACTCTACGAGCAGTTTTCGAGATTTTGACATATTTTGAATGTTTTGTGATGAATTTTTAACTAATTTTCTCAATGTTCAGACAAAAAAAAAATGAAATGTGTCAGTGGGAATGAGAAAATTGAATGATTTTTATAAAAAAAGCGTCGTAAAAACATAAAAAACGTTTTTTTTTCAATTCAGACAAGCTTTCAAAATATTTTTTTAACCGGCTAAAATGCTCCACGACCAATTTCTTTGAACCGGTTAAAATGCTCTACGACGAGTAGTTGGCAATATTTAGACACATTTTGTGATTACTTTTTAGAATACTAAAAACTTCTTTTTCCAATGTTCACAAAGAAAAAAAATTGTAAATGTGTCACATGACTTGTAAAAAATGTTTTTGTAAATAAAAATGTTTTTTTTAATTCCAGCAATAGTTGAAAATATTTTTTTGAACCGGTTAAGATGACGAGTTATCGGTGGAGAAACAGGGTTCGTTTCTAATCAATTATTTAATTATGTAAAAATAATTTATTGTACAAAAATAACAAAACGGTGTACACACACCTTAATGCTTCTTCCATTCCAACAATTTAGTCAGAATGACATTAGACTCATCAGATCCATACATTTCGATTTTCTTATCAAAAAGAGTAAAGCTATTCGGATCGGTTATAACCGTATCAATAAACGAAACAAACATTGACGTCTCACAAAACCATTTCAAAAACCTTCGAATCCCTTTTGTCTTACCATTGCGCACAAACGCCTCTTTCTGAAACAAACACATACATAATTTTTTCTACAAACTGACTCAATTACCTCAAAACTCCCATCAACAATATGATTTTTATAATGCTTTAACGCAACAATAAACACTTTAATGTAAGCATCACTCAAATACACCGAATGGACATAATCCTCCTTAGGCACGGTATTGGCCAACGCAATACTCTGATGCCACGCCTTCTTCATACTATCCGATAAAATGCTATCCTCATCACCCTCCTCACTTATCACATTACCGGTGTCTAGATCCACGACAATTCCCTAAAAATTACACAAAAAATTGT